TTTATTTGTTTCCTAAACAAACTACAAACAATGAAATGAAACGAACACATTTTTTTCATCACACATATGAAATAAGATGACACAGTGATACTACCTAATCAGATAATGTCATAGAACATAGACAATCCAACGATCAAACTACTAAAGAATGATTGATATTCAGTTTTTGTGTAAAATTTATGATTAGATCATATTTACGTTAAATATTAGGTTTTTTTTTCAAACGAATTTTATTCAACTATGTTGAAAAAAGCTATTAGCGTAATTCTTGTGGGATTAAAATGTGAAACAAAATATAGCTACTATTGTTTTCATCCTCGTTTTTCTTAATCTTCGACAATGAAATAAGATAGGAAATTTCTAATCTTTATACTTTAACACTCCTTTAAGATGGTATTTCAAAAACGTTTTGTTCATCTGACTGTTTCAGTTAAAATGATCATAATTCTAATTAGATTAAAAATAGATACAATTACTTTTTTTGAAGATTTAATTAACAAAAACATTTCTTTGAAACAATGTTCACACTATTAATCCTTAAGAGTCGGAAGGCCTTATCGCCGCAATTTGAACAAATTATTCGCTAAAACAGAAGGTCTAGTATCTCAATAAGAATTATTGATAGTAAAAACAAAAAAAAAAAATTTTTCTTACGGAGATATAAAATGTCCCTTGGAAGGGACATTCGGTCGTAACGGTCCAAAATTTTTCACTGTTATCAATTTATGTAAAAGCAATTTTTTCTTTAGAATGCTTCTATTTATACGTTTCTTATTACTCAAGAAACTAATCGGAGCCATATTTTACAATTTTTCAAAATTTATATACTATCGGTTCCAATATAAGACTCGCTTATGGGGTTATCCAAGTATGGTGTAGCTAGTATGAGTGAAGAAAACAACGATCATTTTATGCTTGTGCTTGCAGCTTTACTGCATCAAGAAAGTAATTATCAAATGCTTTATTAGAGCAGAATCAGAACTATCGCAAGGAGTTTAAAAGCGACCAAGATCCACTTTTTCACTGATAACAGCCAAAGTCATATGGAAATCATGGACAATTTTCGATAATGAGATGAGAAAGTAGCCTTCTCTTGATTGCTTCTGTACAACAGTGTTTAGCAGAATCAAAAATAAACGAAAAGTCGCTTGCGTAATATTCATACATTGTTAAAACTTTTTGGCCCGTTAAGACCGAATGTCCCTTCCAAGGGACATTTTCTTCATGCTATCACTATGGATCAGCAGGTCACTTAAAAATTTAGGGAACAGTTTCATTCGATAGCTTGACTTTGTGCCTCTCAGGAAAGCCAGAATTCACGCTAATTCATGCTATATTTATGAACAGGAAAACTTTGCAAAATACAAAATTGCATTTAAAAAATTCACGCGTTTTCCAAAACCTGCTGCACCCTCTGACAGTTGATTTTAAGAAATTTCTTTTTCACACTACATTCTATCAAGTCATCAAAGTCCAAAAAAATATTGATGGTTAACTGTGAAAAAATTTTCATTTAAGAAACCATACTTTCCTTTTTTTTGTGAAAGAATATTCAGAAATATTGTCATTTAAAAAATGAATCTTTTTTCTTTAAATTAATCATCATCAAATATAAAAAGGAATAAGTTAAAACAAATCTATTCTAGTTGATTTTTAATTGAAGATAAACATATTAATTTAAAGTCGAAAAAAAGTAATATTAACTGTTTATGTTGTCATTTATTATCAAAGTATGCGTCAATGATTATATTTAAACAAGTATTTGGTTTTATTGATCATTGCTACCAGTAAGGCACAGCTTTTTTGACAAACAAAAGATTATTTTACATTTTTTATTAAAAGAACAACTAAATATATATAACAAGAGAACCGTACAAAATCTAATCAGCCGATAACAATGCATTGATATATTATAAAATATTTTCTATCGATAATTATGGTTTTATTTAAAATATTTGTAAGACATGATCGATTGTCAATGCAAATTGGTCAAATTGTTCCGTTTTTTTTTCTAATAGAGTATTTCATTTAATGTATTTTCTATATAACAATTATATTTAAATGTTTTTATTTTTGTAGATAATTAAAGTAAACAATGTTTATGCCCAATGTATGTATTTAAATATTCCTATTAATTGGAATCAAACTAATTTAACAATATTCACACATCCTATTAAAATATTTGTTAAACGTTATTTTCTGTTCAGATATGAAAATACTTCTCGATGATGGTGGCAGTCCAGTGTCAACTTTAGAATTCGAAGTTGTCAGTATTGTTAGTGCATGAAATGGTTCAATATCAATATATGTTACAGATAAACGTGATGTTGGTAAAAGCAGTTTATTAGAATGTTCAACATCAATAATTAAAAATTTTACAGCTTGTTTATCGTATATTAGAAAAAATGAATATCGTTTAAAACAAAATATATTTACAAATACTGCATTTGATTTAGAATATATTCTTAAAGTAAATTATTGGAAATGACTGTCAATATTTAAATACTAATCAACGTGTCATTTTAAAGGGATCAAGTCAAAAAAAAAACTTGTCTATTACAACAATATCTTCATGTAATTGAAGATAATGAACAAGTTGATGGTGTTATATTTGATTCTGTATTACTAATTGATATAACACGATTAGATTTATTTACATGTTGTTCACAAGATGGACAAGGTTGTGCAAAATATTTTGAAGATAAAAATTCAATGCGTGCACTTTATACTTAGAAAAATGCATGAAGATTTTCAAACAAATTTATCTTGTCTTTATTTATTAAATATAACAACAGAAGATATTTCTAAAAAAGTAAAAGAAAAAAATAAATTATTTGTTTTTTTATTACATGATATATCTATTCAATTTTTCTTTTTTTATTCTAATATCAAATAATTATATTTTATCAATCAAAGATGATATGGATTCAGCATTATCTATTCCAATTGCACAGCATTTTTCTAAACAATATTCATTGATTAATTCGAACTTAAGTTATATTGAAATGCCACACACTGGACATAATACAGTTCTCTATAGTCAGTTTTACATAAGGAATACAAAAAACTTCATTTAGAGAAGTAAGGATAATGAGAAAACAAAAATATGGCATCATTTTCAAAATTAACCTGTTTTGTCCCAAAAAATTCGGTATTCGACCATTTTGACTTTTTTTCTACCAAAAATGTATTTTGAAAAGTTTAAAACTACTTTTTAATAATCAGTTTCGTACCCTCTATCCAATCAGGTGCAAAAATAGCCAAAAATGTTTTTTCTGTAATTTTGAATTTTCTGCACCTTACAACGATGGTTAAAAAGGTAAATTAAGGCGTAGTTTAGCGCACATTTTTTTCACCTTCGACTTATTTTCTCTCTCTCTCTCCGTCAACTAAGCTGTTCGAGTGATGAGTGACAGAACAAGCAAAACAACGATAATATAGGTATAAAAAAAGATATCTGAAGAGTATATGATCATGTGCTATTTTATGTATACGGATGAATGCACACAAGCCAAACTTATTTTTTCGATGTCTCTATAAACAACATAATGCTTTCATTTTTTTTTGCATAGAATAATTTTGATTCATTCCACCATTATTTTGCTCGTCAGCACAGAAGACTTCGTAAGAATACACTGAGTAAATGTAAGTTTTTTTAAATTACACCTCTTCAGAAGACGTTTTTCATTATCAGCATCCAGAGGATTTTTCTATCCTTAAGTAATACCACTAATGAGGAAATATTCTCAAGTGATTCACTCCGTTTACATTCATATTATGCCCATACATAGGGGACAATTACATTAGAATAATCGCCACAGGTTTCGTGGTCTTGTTGAAATTTGGCTGAAATTTTAAGTTTCCGGCGCCTTAAATGATGATGACGATGATGATTATAGCACTTACAGTACTGATGATACTAATCATTAATGACTTTTATTTATGTTAACATATTAAAATTCTTTTCTGTTGATCGATCTGAATTGAAAGAGTTTTGCGATGAAAACACTAAAAAAATAAAAGTTGACGAGAACTTCCTGAAGATATTGAACCATTATCGTCAAAATAAATTCAGTGCATGATTTTTGATGATGTTTTTAATAGAAAAAAAAATCTTCGAAGATTAATAAGTCATCTCATAAAATCGAAGACGACTAAAAACTTGGAGAAGAAAATATTTGTTAGCTGCTCAGATTTTCAAACAATTTGGTGAATAGTCTTTAATAAAAATCTTTATATCTTTTGAACATAAAAATTTATCGATCTCGACCTTGTGTAGATCAATAGAGAAGAAGTTAGGCTACTTATTCATTATATTATAGTTGGAAATGTCTATTGTTTTCAAAGTGAATTAAGCTCATGTTCAAAACTCACAATGTATTCAAGGAGAAATACGACTAGAATTTTTCATTAACTTTATAAAAAGATAGAGTAGCGTCAACTCTAGATAGTACGAAAAGTTCGAATTACTTCTCTCTTTTTTAAAAGTTATTCAAAAAAATATTTTGAAGGAAACGAAAAC